CCCTCATTATTTATATTGCAGCTTTCTCTTTCTACTTGCAAATGATTAGCATGAAGCTTTCAATTTTTGAATTTCTAATTATGTTGTAGTCATCTTATTGTCCTGATTAGGAAAGCTTATCCATTTACTTTTTGTAGGTGCATGGCCCTGGTGCAGACATTGACACACTCTGTGTTGGACCTAGACATGCAACCCGTGAAGTGCGATCAGCTTTCATTTTCATGAATACTTGTGGTGCATTAGTTTTGCATATATTATGGTATTTTAGCTTTTTAGATTCAATAATGCTTTCATTACCTGGCTGTAGGAAGACTTTTTTGGTGAGCTACATAAAATGCTGTCAGAGATGCCCGAAGTAACTGAATTGCACCCTGTGCCTGATGCTCATGTCCCTGTGATGAAATTTAAGTTTGCCGGGGTTTCTATTGATCTTCTGTATGCGAAATTGTCACTTTGGGTTATTCCTGAAGTAAGTTGTTGTATACTAGCCTAATCCCATTTAAAATTATCCCATTCTCATATATTTTATGATGATGATGTACTTTTTTGGAAATGAATACACAAATTTCGCTGCTTTAAATTTGAAGGAAACCATATAAAATAGTGGCATCCCCCAATCGTGTTCAGTTGCTCATTTTATGATGATGATGTACTGATACCATACAATATAGATTTACAATATGTTTGTTGCTAATTTGGAGTTTGACTATTAGATAATGGATTTTTGTGATTCTTTTTCCATGCATGCAATGTTATTTCACTCTGGACTCTTTTTCATCTTCCCCACCTTACCTTTTTGAAGTGCAAAAACGTCTTATCATCTTGTTAAATTTTCATTACTAATATATGTTGAAATGATCTGTTCCCAAAATTTCTATTCTGGACCAGGACTTGGATATATCTCAGGACTCGATACTACAGAATGCAGATGAACAAACAGTTCGTAGTTTAAATGGTTGTCGAGTTACTGACCGTGTTCTGCGATTAGTTCCAAATATTCAGGTTGAGGATGTTGCTTCCAAAACTTGCCTAGATGTTCCTCGTATTTTCTTAATTTCATTTATTCTTAGATTTGTTAATTTATGAAGTGCAGAGTTTCCGAACGACATTGAGATGCATGAGGTTTTGGGCAAAACGCCGAGGTGTTTATTCCAATGTACGGTGCAGATATCTTATAAAATGGATTACTTCTAAAGTTTATACAAGAATTTCTCATACAAGTCATGTGACTTCTAATTTATACTGTGGTCAGGTTTCTGGGTTTCTTGGTGGTATAAACTGGGCATTGCTTGTTGCCCGCATTTGCCAACTATACCCCAATGCATTGCCAAATATGCTTGTGTCTCGTTTTTTCAGGGTCTTCACCCAGTGGCGCTGGCCAAATCCAGTCATGCTCTGTGCCAACGAAGAAGGATCTCTTGGACTTCAAGTTTGGGATCCAAGGAGAAATCCGAAGGATAGATTCCACTTAATGCCTATTATTACTCCTGCTTATCCTTGCATGAACTCTAGCTACAATGTTTCATCAAGCACTCTACGTATTATGACTGAAGAATTTCAGAGGGGACATGATATTTGTGAGGTACGTTTCTGTAATTTTCTGCTATGATATCTAAAGTCCTCAGCTAGGGATTTTTGGGTAATGAGTTTGGATTCATGTTTCTATTTTGTCCATTTGGTTGTTTGACCTGTTGGCATATGATATCTTAGGATCTTTTACTTGGTGGTAGAAAATTTGTCTTCAACTCGTATCATCTAGTTATGGTTCTGTGTAATTTTGTGTTCTCTTTAATTTGATGTCTCATCCATCCTTCTATATGTGGTATTTTTAATAAATTTCTTTTCTAAGTTCAAGAGATTTCTTTTCTGGCTAATGTCATTTTCTATTTGCATGCTAGTACACTAGATTTTTTGGTTAGGTTCTGTCTCCAATTTGTCAGTTTAAACCTTGTTCATGAATATGCCAGTGGTATGTTTTTTGTGAAGATGCTATTATTAATTATCAGCCGAACTACTAGTGGGGGTAGAACTATTAGTATTTTATTTGCAGTTAATTTGGTATGGTAACTTTTGTTATTGACATTAGAGAACTTTTCCCTCTTTACATAGTGCAAGGTGCAGGTTTGTTACACAGTGAAGCATTGTTCTTATCTAGTTTGATGGTTGTTAAATGTTATCAGGTTATGGAAGAAAACAAGGCTGATTGGGACACTCTTTTTGAGTCCTACCCCTTCTTCGAAGCATATAAGAACTATTTACAAATAGACGTTACTGCAGAAAATGTTGATGATCTAAGAAAGTGGAAAGGTTGGGTTGAATCTCGTCTTCGCCAACTGACATTGAAGGTGAAATTGCAATTTCATAGTTGTTTACTTTTGGCCTTTCTAGCATTAATCAAAATTTGAACTCATTTCTTAACTATAAATGGAGATTGACTCTGCTTCATGTGTGCTGATGCAGATTGAGAGACATACGTATAACATGCTTCAGTGCCATCCACATCCAGGCGATTTTTCTGATAAATCCAGACCTTTCCACTGTTGTTATTTCATGGGTTTGCAGCGAAAACAAGGAGGAGCTCCCACGAGTGGGGGTGAACAGTTTGATATAAGGTTGACAGTTGAGGAATTCAAACGTTCTGTCAACATGTATACACTGTGGAAGCCTGGGATGGAGATTTACGTTTCACATGTGAAGAGGAGAAATATACCAAATTTTGTTTTCTCGGGTGGAGTTCGACCTTCACGTGCATCTAAAGTGACTTGGGATAGCAGGCGTAGTTCAGAACTAAAAGCTTCTGACAGTACTCAAGTAGACAGGCCATTTGAAGCCACAGAAAGTTCAGATGGAGTAGATGATAGAAGGAAAAGAATGCGTATTGATGATAATGTGAATACTAACTTCAGAAATGGAGAGTGCTCGGCCGCTGCTCATTCCCACACTGAGGAAGTTCATGAAGCCAGCCGAATCAGTATCACTAGCTCATGTTCTGTTAAGGATATGAATTCTATTCACACTAGTGCAAATAACTTAGAAAATATGGCAGATGTTTCTTCTCAGAATAACGGAGATCATGGATTGATAGGAGTTAATCCTTCCATAAACATTGAATCTGCAGCTGCTGATACATCAAGCTGTAAGGAAGCAGAGAAGCTGGCAATTCAAAAGATTTTGTCTGATCCTTATGATTCCCACCAAGCTTTTCCGTGTGAGCCTGAAGAGCTCGACGATTTTGATTATAAAAATCAAGCTAAAGATTTTGGTGCTACAAAGCAGGGTAGCCCCATAATACTGTCTTCGGCTGCAAACACATCTTCCGTAGTGCCTATACCATCTAGCAATGAAGCACGCCAGTCCTCATGTTCATATTCCAACGGGGGCTTGGAGGAGCTTGAGGTTTTATTTTCTTTAACCAAAACTTTATTTTTCTTTTCAGTTCTTCTGTATTATCATACAGTTGGTTCTCATTTCAACCTCAATTGCAGATTATTATTGTTCCGGTTGCGTACGGCTCATAAAATGTTAAATGATTCGCTTGTGGGTGGTTATGTTATGTTTTTTCATCTTCTCGTCTTAAACAGGTCTTCAAATATTATAGGATAAAGAAATATACGCTATCTTGCACTAAAGCTTTGTAGTAAGATAAATATTTAAGGGGAATCTTTGAGAGCTTTGAAAACTAAATTGTTTGCCCCTCGCATCTAAAGCTAGATTAACTAATAAGCTTCATTTTCAGTCCGTTGTTATCTCACTGTATAATTTTTTATGTTAAGCCTGCTGAGCTTGTGGCGCCATTGTCAACTGGGACTGCTCCTGCACCTGCAGCTGGGCGAAAGCCAATCATCAGGTGGCTTTGCAACTCTTTAATTATATGGGAATAAGAATGGTTGACATTTGATTAAAATATCTTTACTTTTTTCTTCCTGCCTTCGTTTGGCCATCGGTTGCTATCTTAAACATTCCATAGTCTCCTTTTACCTTTTCTTTTTTGTGTGGTTATGACCACACACTGTCGTTGTCAATATTGGCTGATTCAATCCAGTTTCTTTTTTTCTTCCTTCGAATTGCAGGTTGAGCCTCACATCCTTGGGCAAAGCTGGTAAAAGCTCGTAAAGGGTTCTTCCAAAAGCAGCTCGGGAGAGCATTTTTCTTATCTGTTATGTATCGGGCGATGTCTTGCCTGTCGATTTTCTTTTCATGTGTAACTCTTGACCCTAAATAATAACAAAAAAGAAAAAAAAAAGGTCAGGCTTTTATGTAATATGTATGATGGGCTTGAAGGCCAACAGTTCTATAAACGTACTAGTCGGTGTATGCCTTCTATTTCTACCATATTAATGCAGATGATAGCCTACTATTATTTCTCAGAAACCTCTGAGAAGACCATAGATCTTCCCCCTGTTATTAACTTTCCTTGGAGAACAGAATCACTTTCTGTAAACTAATGGGTTTACAAAACTCTTTCAAGAACAGATCATCTTTAAGAATTATGATCAGTAAAACTTCAATTGTTTTGGAAAATACTTCTTCGTCTTTGATGAGAAGATCAACTTATCTAAATTAATACCGACTTTTTTTTGTTTGATATGATGTTATTTGGTTATTGGTATTATTTATCATTTGTTTACGACTGAGCAATTGGTCGCCTGCAAGTTGCTTGTCCTGCATCACGTGCTTCATGTTCGACGGTTACTTAAAACTTGTTTAATCTGTGTTTCTCTCGCTACGATGCGACAGATAATCTTACAAAATTACTTCTGTTATTCAACCCCTCCTTTTTAAATTGAGTTTGACAAATATTACAAAATAACGTGCCTGCAAGCCTTTTGAGCTGTTGCTGTTACTATAAGTTGTCGCCATTGATGTACACGAGTTGTGTGATAGAGATTTGGTAGTTTGCAGAAGCTGAGCTGAGTTGGGATGGAGGCGAGACAGCTTGAATATGTGATGGTTCCGCTTGGTTTTGCGGTGCTGGTGGGCTACCATCTTTGGCTGGTAATCACCATTCACCGGAGACCCAGAATAACGGTCATCGGAATCAATGCCGAATCCCGCCGGCAATGGGTCTCAACCATGATTCAAGTAAGTGCCTTTCCTTCTCTCTCTCTTACTCGCTTTTCTCTTGTCTCTTATTCAGAAAAAGCATATGTGAGTGAGAGAAAACCAGTATAATATTGTTTAGAGAGTCATGGCCTTCAATTAATAATGGAAGCATTGTGAGCTTTTGGGAACAATATCAAGAATTTTTTCCTTCTTCTTGATCTTTTTTCTGCGAGTCTTTTTGATATATCTTGTAGCTTTTTTTTGTGGATTTTTGTGTGGCTCTCATGTTTTTTTCTTTAAGAGTCATCCACTAACAAACATCTGTTGGATTTCCAATTTTCTTATCTTGTTGACTGAGATTTAAATGGACTTATGATTGTATTCCTTCCCCTATCATGAGAATTTAATCTGCCTTCGTGCCTTCTAAGTAATAGACCATTCTTTAATTTCGCCTCTGATTGGTTCAGAAACTACGTTGAATCAACTAATACTCAAAACAGTTGGATAGAATAGTGATGTTTAGTTTATGGATTTAAGAAGTGGAGGAGGGGTAGAGAGAACTTCCATGGCTGACTAGGTTACTATAAGTGATCATATTCAGGACCCTTCAAAGAATGGTGTTCTTGCTGTCCAAACCATACGAAACAACATCATGGCTTCTACGCTTATGGCGACGACAACGATCACGGTTGGCTCATTGATCAGTGTTTTTGTGAGCAGCACATCGAGTACCGGCAAATACCGTTACATTGTACTGTGTTTCCTCGTTGCATTTCTTTGCAATGTGCAGTCTATCAGATACTATGCTCATGCCAGCTTCTTAGTCACTTTGCCTGCTTGTGAAGGCAGACAGGATTATCTTGCTGCAGCCTTGAATCGAGGAAGCTTTTTCTGGTCGCTCGGATTGCGAGCTTTCTATTTTGCAATTCCTCTCTTCATCTGGATCTTTGGACATCTTTCCATGTTTTTGAGCTGCTGCCTGATAGCATTTGTTCTTTACTTTCTGGACTTTACTAGAAGTTCCAGCTACGATCCTTATGATTACGCTCAAAAGGAAGAAGCAAACAACGACGTTGAATCTTTGGGTCAATCAGGGTCAGTATTGTTCTTCTGATAACTTCAGTCTTTCCATAATTATGAAGAATCTACTTTATTTTCATTCTTTGTACATTTATTCCATCTAGGCAAGAGCAGTTTTGTATATTTTGTTAAAATAAGTGTGTAGCTAGAGAACAGGATGCTTCGGAATAAACAAACACGCATGCTATCAAACTCGTTACTTGAAATAAACAAACACACATGCTAAAAGTAGGCTCTCTACTTAACAACTTCTCTAAAGATCTCACTGCTCTGTTATGCTTTTCAAAGTTTCTCATATACTTGTTTGATCTTTATGATTTTTGCATATTTGCTTTGATTTTCTAATCGAATGTTTCGAACTATTCGGGCCAGGGGAAACAACTGCTCTGCAAACTCCTGCCTTCACTCACCTCTACTTGCAGGTTCCAATGCAACTCCCAACTGAAATGGCTGTGCAAATCAAAACAGAATTACAATTTGTTACAGAAAAATACTGCTTTTTTCAGCTATATCTAGTGTTGAGAACTGAGATTGGGGAGAGATCGAACGCACTTTTCATTTGTTCACAATCCACAGGTATTTCCTAAATATGTATGCAACTGTTAAAGATTTATCTAGTGTCGGGCTTTGGTATACCTATTATGTAGACTGTTCTATCGTTATCTGCTCTGAAATGTAATATGAATCACGACTCATTTCGTTATGAAACTACCATTCATCTTGTCTTATAGCTTTTGAGGTCGTGTTGATCACTTCAACGGGTCCGTTTCTTTCTCGGTCATATTGTTATACTCGAACACTTCACTGTGCGGCATCATCTGTTGCTCTCAATATGACCTCAAGAAAAGCCAGCCAGACTAGTTACCAAAAATGTCATTTTAATAGGGAGAGAGAGAGGCTTATCTGAGACTCCCAAGTCCTAACCAATGTTTGGCATCTACTTATGGCACAGTTTTAAAGGAGAATTAGCCATTGCCCAAAAAAATGCATGTGTTTTGGGACGTTCTGTTCATAATTGAATGTGTTTGAGTCCAATTTGATTATGATTTCCAAGAAACGTGATGGATTTGCATAAATGTCACCAAATCTGACCTTATTATATATTGCTGCATTGGTTGAAATTTTATATGGTTTGAGTATCAATCCACATGCCCTGCATGAGATCATGTTGCATTGGAATGAGGACTCTGTATTCTTCTACATTTTCACATGCTGAAAGCTTTCTGCTCTCTCTTTTTTTTTTTTTTTAAAAAATGCAATGCAGAATGGAAAACCCACCAATCTCCTTTTCTCTGTGAAGAATAAAAAAAGGTTTAGGACTCTGTCACATCCATCAAAGGACCAGGCAACTTTCAAGTTTCAACACATCAAAATTTGCATTTAATGCCTACAAAATCTGATTACAATAAAAATGTTGTCCTTTGACACTCATAATTATGATTTATAGGTTTGAAAGATACGAAGTTTTGAGAAGAATTACATGTTAAATTGGTTTCGTATTAGAAACTTTAAAGCTCTAGGGAAAGTAAGAATATGAAAGCCATATGTTAATCTATAGATGGATGTTACCCTGTAACATGTAAGGAACTTCATGTGAAGGAGAGCAACTAAACTTCATGCATCTTTTATTTTGACTCTTTTTATTGCATCGATATGGGTGGAATTAGAGTCTCTCACTTCGTCCTATCACTTGAAAACACGTGTATGGGTCTTAATCGAATAAGTGGAGGTTGAGGAATGGCAAACATGATTCAACTCTGACTTACCTAAAGCCTAGCATGACATCGAGATTTTACCAACCCAAAATTCTACTATAAAAGTTAAAGATACATTCCTTATAAAGATACGAAATTCTATACAACCTTTACTAAGCTCGATTTCTACTATAAAAGTTAGGATACATTCCTTATAAAGATACGAAATTCTATACAACTTTTACTAAGCTCGACTTGACATGACATTATCTCAGACTAATTATTAACTTAACTTCAAAGTGTATATGGTTGAGTATCACATCATCACTTTGATTGATCATATTTTCGTTTTGTATTTGACACCGATTTGTCACCTCATCTAGAATCTTGAGGTTAACGAGTTAATGAGAATCCAACAAATGGCAGATAATCCATAAAAATATGTGAGCCTTCCTAATCATAAATCATTTTTAGAAGTCGGTTAAATAGCCCCAAATATGTTGGTATTGTATTAATATGTGACCCCACTTCAGTATAAAGAAGGGATGATAGAGATGAAATATGAATGATGTTGGGCATGACAATATTACTGCAAAGTTAAATTGGACCCATTCTACTAAGTAAAAGGTAAAATTTGTCACCGATTTTAAATTCACCTCATCTACTTGATTTTCACATCTATTCTAAGAGATAGAGAACCAACACCTTATACTTACGTGACAAAATATTTTCTATGACAAGGATTCTTCTACTTTAGAAGTGTCATTTTTCACTTGCAAATCTTATGGATATCCAAGAAGAAAAAAAAAATCTAAAAACTTTTTTACTACATGGAGAGGTGAGGTGGGATTAAAACTCACAACTTTTTCATCGGTCATAGCTATCTTAACTTGTATGCCGAAGTCAAATTAATTAGAATGAAATCAAACGTTGGGAATGTGATATCTAAACTCAAATCTTTTTTTAGAAAGCGAATTTAAAAGGTCAAACACTGTAAAATTATAAAATTATTGGCTCTTTTTGATTTGGGGCATGGAAAGTTCTATATTGTAAAGTGAACTTCCAAAATCTTTCAAATCTAAGTTCTGAAATATATACACACAAAAGGGTTCAAATATCAGAAAAGGCACTGCTCTACTTTTGAGGTTGTCACTTTTTCTTAGAAGTTTCACAGTTCATTGATATTATAATAAGAAAAGACAGTGCCGTAAGTCGTTACATAGCATAATAAGCCTTGAAATAATAATTAAATTAGTGAAATGTGATCTTGAATCTGAAAGGGTCGAGTCAACATAATTTATTTCTCTCGATTGGTTTGAAAGTTGCAGCGGAAAAGAAGGCAGTGTAGAAGAAGAAAGGACCATTCTTTGCAAATGCCTTTTTCTGCTCTCTTGGAGCCTCACTACCAGCTCTAATGGCGATCACCAACATTTTTCGCTTCTCTCTACCCACCAAATCTAACCCTTCAACTTTGCCGTTTGATACCTCTTTCACATCCTCTGCTTACTTCCTCGTTTCCTCGCCACATTTCAGGTAAGATTCTTCATCTCTCTCTCGACTGCGCGATCAATGAGCGAGTCTTTCTATAATTCTTCTTTTTGGCATT